TGACGATGTAAATTCATCGCAGCTCGGCGAGGCACAATAACGCATTTTGCGATCTAGTCACTAGTGAGAAGCATAATTGAGTGCGCGGCGCAGCACAGTTACACATCGCGCTCCAAGGCCCCTGCGAGCTGCCAGTAAGATTTCCTGGCCTGGCCTTAGGACCTTATATTGAAAACTTAAGTGCTATTTTAACATGTTATACTGGTAAAACCAAAAACATTTGACCGTAAACGGGTTCAACTCGGCGATCATTTTGATTTTGATAGGTTATTAATATATGATATAAATTATAATATATAATTGTTTATACATTATAACTTAACAAAAAATTTTGTTTTACTTAACTCGGCGCGCGTCCTGGTAGGTTGTAAACCTACAATTTATAACCTATAACAATATTTTCGAAATTTATTTCTGTACGTCTACTAATAACTACTAATTTAAATGCATCAAATATAATTCTGGCAAAATAATTAATTCTTAATGGAACCAAATTTTAGGTGCGCCGCGCATATTTTCGAAAATTTACACCGTAGTATGAAAATCGAGCGCTAAAGCAAATACGGCCAAATTTTCACAAGAATACTTTAGTAATTTTTTAGTGTTATCGTTGCATTTCAAACCTCCTTTATTCACTTTATTAAGTTATCTTTTCGACGATTAATTTGATTACTATCTATGTTTTCTCGTATTGTCATTGATATTGAGTACACATTGATGAAAGAATTTTTAAAAAAATAAAAAAAAGGGGGGACCCCCAACCCATGTAGCTGAGACACCTCACAGCAAGTAGACCAAAGTGGCTCTTGCTTGTGAAAGGTGCGTCAACTACCCGCCGAAGCGGTGGGTTGGGAGTCCCCCCTGGGATCATTTCGTCCGTAAAATTATATACAACATAAAATAGTACAGTAAAATATCAAAATTTACATAAACAAATCTAGGAGACCTCAAAGCTCGTCTTCTGGGGGATGAGGTTGAAGGAGATGTCATGCAGTTCAAGATGCTGGGCCGTTGATCTTCCTCTGATTCCTCTTAGTGCAATGAGTGTACTTCTTAACAGATCAAATCTGAATCGTGTTCTGATATGATTTTTGACTTGGCTCTTGGCTTCTTTTTTATGGTCAGCTATCATCTCAGAGACACGATCTACAAATACAGTGCATAGCGGTCCCATACCTCCAGAGGTTGTGAAGACTAGAGGGACAAAGGATCCTTTCTCTGACTGAAGTACTCTCTCTTCATACAAATCTTTCTTTTCTTTCTCGTGATCTTTATAGATCTTATCTAGCGTCTTAAATGTGTTTGTGTCACAGTTAGGATGTGTGACCCTAATGTCAAAAAATGTTCTTTCAAAGGGTGCATACAATCCAACAGCTGCAACATCAAGACGGGCTTCATCCTGGGTGTTGGTCTTTCTTGAGAAGGAGCTTGGTTGGACTGTCAGGAGTGCTGGTTCTATCCTTACATCTTTACACTTTGCTTCTCGGAGGAAGAAAGCAGCAGTATCTCTAATAGCGTTGTGGCGCATGCTCACGTATCCGCCTAGTTTACAGTCAAGGGCGTGGTAGATACTGTTTACATTTCCACAAGCACATTTAGAGGGCACTCCTTGGATCTTCCAACCATACCTTAAGCGTATGCTGTCTTGGAACTCCTGCCTGTTCAGAACATAGTTGAGGTCTTTCAGTGGTAGTGTCGAAAGCCATGTTTTTTTTTTTTTTTGTTTTTTTTAAAACAAAAGTTAAATTTATTACCAATTATTCAATCAATACATATCATAAATTCTAATAATGGAAACACAATGCAAAATGGATGTCTTAAACTATAATTTTGTTGTAACTAATAATCTATTGACTTTCAATGTTGAATTTTAGTTAAGTATGAAATGCCACCACATCATAGTTAGGGTAAAATGTTATTTTTAAATTTTAAAATTGAGAAGATTGCTCTATGGCTTAAAATTTAGAATTCTAGCAAAAGATATCTTATTTTTAAATAGTTGGTTACAGTTTATGACAGTACTGGCATGACTAGTTTTATTGTGGCTGGTAAAAGGACCCAGTTGCCTGTAAGGGCTTTACCGAACCCCAGGGGACCACAATGTGATAAGATCAGGCCAGATGTTTCTATGTAGAGCAATTTATTTATTTTGGAGCTATGGTTATATGCTATTGCTGGTGGTCATGTTTAAAGCTCAGTTTATCCTTGTGTGCTAATTATCCATCCAGATGCTTAGTGATGTGGGTAAATCATGTTACAACCTATTCCTGACCTTAATTGATACACAATAAAATGGAATGTTAATACAAAATAAAACTCGGAATTATAATAAATAAACTGAAATAGAAGGTGTTAATAAATTAACACTAGATATTATAATAATTCACTTACTCACTAACCTCCCTAGACCTGTACCCGATTCCCACTATAAACTAACTACTAACTAACTACTTACTAAAACTACTACACTAAAATATCACCAAATAATATCCGAACTAAAAGTCTTTACTTCCTACTAAAATATATTACTAAAACTATGTTTATACAAATTTGCCCTTCTACGATATATAATGTTTGACCATAAATTTGTTTTTACCACATAAACTGTGGCACTTATGTCAATTAACAATATTTACATTCATTGATACAGGGTGGGCCAAAAGTCAGTACCCATACGTTGGCCTTTATAGCTCAGTCACTGAGTGCCCAATTTAAATACTTCTTTCTGGTATGACTTAGTACCACCACTGGTTCGAGGAATTTGTCAACTCAAAAAATATTCGCGTTCATTTTTTTCAAATGGAGGTTCATTTTCACATTTATTTGATAGTTTGGTTAGTCGGATCAAGCTAAATGTTATTGAATTGTGTTAGGCCATTCGAATTACGTTTGTCCTGAAAGAATTAGAACTGTAGCTTCTCAGATGACCGAGATATGCAGCATAACGAGTTTATTCATTACGTGTAATCAGGTGATTGGTTTACCTAATCACGTGATAAGGTGCCCCCGTTAACTACCCCGTTAAACATTATGGGAATTGTTAAGGGTGCCCAATTAAGGTGTCGTATCACGGTGTCACATAATCACACAGTCAATATTGTTAACGAGATACAGAAAATGCTTGATAACTTCGTCATTTCTAATCCGTTTTGCCTCATGTTTTCAGATCATATGCAACATTTGATAATCTACCGTCTCTGAAAAAATTAGGCGTTCAGCATGTTCAGAGAAAACAATATAGGTGTTTTAATATTGAATGGGCGTGGTCTAAAATATTCGAATTTCAAATTTTGACGACGGAATCCTCGAACCAGTAAGTACAGTATGCCATCTGCAAAGCAACAGCTCTCAAATATAAAACACGGCGGAGCTATTAAGGCCAACGTATGGGTACTGACTTTTGGCCCACCCTGTATTTAAAGCGTGTTTTTTCCCCAGCACTACTACACAACAAAAACCTGTCGGCCCACCGAGGAAACACGGTCGCAGAACAAAGAGCCCAATTGTGCTCCTCTATTCTGTGATCGTGTGTATCTACTAAACTAGCTAAATGTACTAAGAAAATTTAATGGAATCATTACAGTCGTTTGATAAGTTCACGTGTCAAAGTAATGTTCATGGTGATCATATTTTTGGATCCCCGGTGGGCAAACACTCGTCCGAAAGGTCAATGCAAACCTGTCGATGTTTCACCATACGAAGTAAGGCGATTTGAACATATACTCAGCTTGCAACTCAACCCATGGGACGAGACGTCGTGAGCCTCAAAATTCTTCAAAATATATAGCACATACCTAGTTAGCAAACACTAAACACAACATACATACGATACCAAATAATGTATAATGCCATTACTACATTCGAAAGAAAATATATCTGCTATCTAATTTAAAAAATTGTAGAATAAACCTGAAGAAGGAGAAGGAGAGAGGGGTTTGGGAGAGGCAGAGTAGGAAAACAACAGGATCCTGTGCCGCAGGATTTTAAAATTTATTGTATGATGATTCGTTTTGTTTCGTCTCTTAGATTAATATAGGTCTGATACCCTTGTCATGGTTCTTTGCAATAACACCGTGGTTTACTCATATGATTAAGTTTAGTTAATTAACCTATTTCAATGATAATTCATTTGCGTCAAAGTTGTAACTGCACCATAGTTGTCTGTCATATTTAGATTGTAGTTCTAACAAAGCTTTCTTAAGATTATTCTTGAATATACTGATAGGAGTGGAGAAGTCTATTTCACTCGTTGACTTACGGCAGTGATTCCAAATACTAGTTGATTGATAGATGAATAGTGAGGACGGAGTGGGTGGGATGAAGTAGTTGTCTCGTCTTGGTGACCTGTTGAATAAAGAGAACATTGAGACTGGTGATTGGAACTTATTAATTTTAAACCTTTCCAGTAAACAGTGCAACTTATGAAGATTGTGGACAGTCAGGAAGTTATACTCGTTACAGATTGGTTTACTGTGTTCTAGTTCAAAGAAATCTTTGCCTAACATCTGCTTGATAACTTTACCGGTCTTATCCCTAGTGATAGGCCTTACTCTGGCACATGTTTTGAACTTATTGAAGTACGCATCATTATCACCAAAGAGAATTCTTATGCATTTCTTTTGTGTTTTAAATATGGCTTCTAGTTTATTATTTGATACACCTCCCCAAACAGATATTCCATAACATAGGTGTGATTCAAAAAGGGTGTGGTACAGGTCCTTATATAGTTTTTTAGGTACACAGCGTCTAATTCCACATAGTCTACCAATCTCACATTTCAATTTACTATTTAACGCTCGTAAGTGAGCATCCCAGTTCAGTTTTTGGTCAATAATGAGTCCAAGAAACTTAGTTTTCTCTACCTTTTTAATTATTATATTATTCAGTGTCAGTTCTAATTCATTGGTGTTTGAATCTGGTTCATTTCTACAGTTCGGCTTAAAGTGGATATAACAACATTTCTTTGTGTTGATATGCAGCAAGTTTTAATACTTTCAACACTACTATATAACAAATAATTTGAGGTATGAGATATGATAGACGAGCGTAAGTGTTGACGTGCAAAGGACTGCTGTGAGTGTACTTGAAGATTACTCATCCTCCTCCTTCTCATCAAAACTATTCTCATCAAAACTACTATCTGGACTGAAGGTATTGCGTTTACAGTGTTTATTGTGCTTCTGAACATTGAACTCTTGATAATATAACTATGTCAAATAATCAGAGCTCAGACATTAGTCTCCACTCTTGTGAGCGCCCTTTAGAACATTTGAACTTTTCATTCCAGTCTGAAAAATCAGAGAACTGTAACAATTGTCTGTCAAAAGACATCAAGATTGACTTTTTAGAAAAAAAGTTGTCTTTATTGAATGAAATTATCAGAACTAGTGATCTCATTGCTCAGTACAATGATAGTCTCATATCAGATCAAACTCAAATACAAGAACAGAGTTTTAAGTGTGAAAATTTGCTGCCAAACTTATCAGAGGAGATTGAATGTGAGATCATAACCATTACCCCTCAGTCACACGTTGTTATCAATCAAGTAGAAGCGTTTGATGTAGATGACATTGTTGTGGAAGATGTTGTATCGGACAGTTTGTTTGTTGACAACGATGTCGTGGACAAGGTTGTTCCACAGGAGGTTGTTGGAAACGAGATTGTTATCAGTGAGATTGTTGTTAACGAGGTTATGGCAGACGAGGATGATGTGTCTGATCTCCCTGTATCTACTGCTACTGGTGAATCACGGATCAACACCCCTAAGCCCAGAGACAAATATCCAAACTTGGTCCCTGCCCCTGTCTACGATCCTATAACACCGGGGCCAATGAATATATCTGTAACTTGTTCCCCATCACCAGTGAAACCAGTTACCCTACTAGATGATGGTCCATTCTCTAAATTTTCACTTGATCTATTAATGGAAGAACTTGAGTTCAGTCACGGTTTTAAAAACAGGAAATCGGTTTATTTTGGTGACTTTCCCTATGAGTATTCAGGTGCAACACATGACCCAAAAAGTGTACACAATGATTCCTACCTTGCTAAACTCAGCTCCTACATTAATGTGATATTACCCAATTTCAGACACAATAGTATTCTCGTCAATCTATATGAAACTGGAGCAGAGTTCATGCCAGCTCATAGCGATTCTGAATCATGTATTGTAGAACACTCTGATATTGTAACCATTTCACTTGGTGCGACGAGAACACTGCAAATTAGATCAAACGGCAGCAATGAAGTTGTGGGCTCTGTGCAGCTTCAGCATGGAGATGTCTTCATCATGTCCAAATTGTCTCAGGCTGACTTTCAACATGAGATACTGCCAGACGAAATGTGTGATGAACCCCGGATCAGCATCACCCTAAGACTGATGAAGCCCCCTAGGATCACTCAGTCAACTGAGTTTGGTCTGCGTTCACCGCCCCCACCCATCCCTCATTCAGGACACAAACTGACAGACTCTTCTTCACCTGCACTCTCAGTTTGCAAACAGTCAGCTAAAGCTTCACAAAAGTCTGTCCTATTCATAAGCAGCTCTATGTTCAGGTTTCTTGATGCGGACAAGTTATCATCGTCCACTGTTAGTGCTAGTAAACTGTTTTATCCTGGGGCTGATGCCAAAGTAATGTTAAATAAACTAAAAACTGACCTACACTCTGTTCCATCCCCATCTATTATTTATATTATGACAGGAACTAATAATGTGAACACAGTCTGTTTTGGCTCAAAGTCACTGAAGGATGCAGCGGGTGACTTTAGTAATCTCTTAAATTATCTCAAGTCAGTGTATCCGAATGCAACAATTAATGTTCTCAATATTCTTCCCAGGAGTACAAAAGGCCGCAATGATGTTGTGGCAGAGCTGAATAAGGTTATTAAGGATATGTGTAGCAAAGATTCTTGTTTTAATTACATTAGCACCCATAATTTATTTAACTATAATAGAAGTGGATTCAGGAAAGAATTTTATTTTGCCAGACCATCTGCAAAAATATCTGATAACTGTCACCTCAATACAAGCGGTGTTATTCGACTTGCTAAATTTCTGAAGTATTGGGCCCATAAGCAAGTTTGAATTTTCAGAAAGATTGTTAACATTTATTTCATCTAGATAAGGGATAATTACACATTGTTCCTCATGTTTATTGAAGTTTTAGAAAGTTTTGTTATTATCTCATACAAATTTGCCAGTTCTGCAATTTATCTTATTCTGACAAGTTTATAGCAGCATAAATTGGAAAAATTTTCATGCTCTCACAGCAGTTCTTGCATTAACCCGTGCATTAGTAAAATCACAGTTTCATACCATGCCAAAAAGCTTGCAGTGGAACATTGCAACATGCAGGGAGGACTAACAGGTATGCCAAAATGTCTTGAAATCCAAGATCTAATCTGGAAAGAGAAATTAGATGTTTTATGCCTGAATGAAACAAATCTTAAGTCGGATATTGACTCAGCCAGTCTAAACCTACCCAAGAATTTTACTTTTATCCGCAAAGACCGTCCTAACGACAACGGTCATGGGGGATGTGGCATTCTCATCAGTGAGCACATAAAGTTTAAAATGATTCAACTAAACTTAGTTTTGCAATATGACCAAATCGAGGCTATTTGGATCCATCTTACAGATTGCAATATTTTCATCTGCTGTTTCTACAGATCTGAGTTGTTTAGTCCTCTTGACAAATTTTTAGATTATATGACAGACTGCATGATGAGTATAGGAAGTAAGAATGTTATTTGGCTGGGTGATGTAAATGTAGACCAAAACAACATCAGCAGTATGAACTATAAGAAATTAGACATTACAATGAAAATGTTTGGAATGGTACAGGTAGTTCAGGATATTACCCGCATTGCTAAACTAGGAAACAGAATCACAAAGACCACAATCGATGTTGTCATAACAAACACTTACTCCAAGTTTCTTGACTGCAAAGTCCTTGATGATTGTATAGGAGATCATCAGGTCGTAAAGTTCATTGTCGATTTCAATGTGCATAAGGCCTCAAAATTCAAGAAGTTACTAATAAGAGATCACAGCAAAATGAATGTTACTGCTCTTAAAGAATTTTTGGAAACTTGTGATTATAGACCAATAATAGATTCAACTAGTCTGAATGATGCAGTTGATGGTTTAAACGAACATATTGATCACTACTATGATCACTTCTGTCCAATTAAACAAATTAAGTGCCATAGTGATTACATCCATAAGCCATCTCCAGAATTTTTAGAAAGTAAGAAATTGAAAGGGAAACTTTACCGTAAATTTTTAACACACAACAAGAACAGACGTATACATCCAAATGGTCTTATACACTGTAATAAATGTGACTCATTATGGATGGCATATAAACGGCAGAGAAACTATTCAACCTATTTGTCTAGAATTAATAGGAAGACTAACTTAGCAACAGAACTGAAAGCCAAGTGTGCCATGAATGATCTAAAGGGTGTATGGAAAACGATAAAGACAGCATCAAATCTGCCTGTGAAAGCTAACAATATCAATAACAATCTTGATGCTGAAACCACCAATAAATATTTTGCTGAAATAGGTCCAAAGATCCAAGCAGAAGTGCAGCTGGAAAATGAAAATGAATTTCTATCTTATCTACAAAATGAGCAGATTGACAACGAGACCAGCTTGAATAGCTTTACTGAAATAACTGAGTCCAATATCTTAGACTATGTGGCAAGTATCCCTTGTAGCAAATCCACTAATGATCATATACCATTGAGAGTGTTTAGACAAATTTTACCTGCATTTATTGCTCCATTAACACATCTTGTAAATTTGAGTTTATCCAGTGGCATCATGCCAAACAGCTGCAAGGTTGCAAAAGTCACCCCAATCCATAAGGATGGTGATATTGAGAATCCTAGTAATTATCGACCAATCTCAATTTTACCGATTCTTGGAAAGTGCATCGAATTTTGTGTGAACTCCCAACTGACTCAATATCTTGATGAAAAGGGAATACTTTCAGAGCATCAATATGGTTTCCGTAAAGATCACTCTACAACTTATCTCATGTTAGATCTGTTTGATCGTATATTTACTGCTAAGAACAGTGCCAAGCATCCTGCAATTATCTTCCTGGACATCAGAAAGGCATTTGATACTGTTAACCATGATATTCTCATTCAAAAGCTGAAGCATTATGGAATAAAAGATACTGCATTGAGCTGGTTTAGGAGCTTCCTCACAGATAGATTACAGCAAACTAGAGTTGGGAGTAGGATAAGCAGTTTACATTCATTGAACTCTGGAGTGCCTCAAGGAAGTATATTAGGACCAATTCTATTCAGCATTTTTATCAATGACCTGCCTAATGCATGCCTATTTTCTAAACCTTATCTATTTGCTGATGACGGTGCATTATATTTTGACAATATATCTAGAGGAAACTATGGTAACATCAAACAAGAGTTGAAATTAGTTATCAGATGGCTTCAGGCTAATAAACTATCCCTGAATAATGAAAAAACAAAACTAATGATCCTTGACTCTAAGCCTAACCTTGATGCCATCCTTGTTGAAATTTGTGATGACCTTACTTTGGTAATCTGTGAAACTAAATCCCATAAGTACCTTGGACTTATAGTTGACAGCAGATTGACATTTAATGAACATATTGATAACATTAAGAAAAAGATATCCAAAAGAATTGGTGCTATGTATAGATCAAAAAAACTTCTCCCTCTTAAGTTCAGGAAGATGTTTGCTAATGCACTTATGTTGCCACATTTTGACTACTTAGACACCATCTGGTCAAGAACATATAAAAAACGACTAGGAGAGTTAGATATCATGTACAAAAAGGTTGCTAAAATAGCCCTAGATGTAAGCACCAGAGAGAGGTCGGTTAATGTATACAAAAATATGGGATGGCTTCCTCTCCGTTTGAGACGACAGGTTCATCTTAGCTCATATATGTACCGTATAATCAATGAAACATGTCTAAAGCATTTTATCGGGAAATTCTCGTATATTTCTGGTGGATCACGT